ACCACTGCATAGTTACAGGGGTCGATTCACAGTTCCTAGACCCGTCAGTATAACCTAAACCAAAGCCAGGCTTGTGTTGCAAGGATCCGAACAGAGGTCCACCAGATATCAACACAACAACGCCATCTGTTGGCGTTAACAGTAACACCAACAGTAACACCAACAGTGGCACTGTTATAATGATCAACGGGGGCACCAGTGACTCACCCTACCCACCACTGTTGCTGCTGCGTCTGTTGTTCTTGCTGTTACTGTTGTTTATGTCGTTGCTTCGGTCGTTGCTGTTACTGTTGCTGTTACTACTGTTACTGTTACTACTATTGCTACTCTTACTGATGTTGCTGTTTCTGTTACTACTGTTGTCATTGTTGCTGCTACTACTGTTGCTGTTACTGCTGTTGAAAGACAGTTGAAGGATAGACAGGATAGAGGGGTAACTAAAATACTGATACACTATACATTATGTATATTAGTGTATGAGTGGTATGTGGTACTGTGTTGAGTACTGGTATATGGTACTGTGTTGAGTACTGGTATGTGGTACTGTGTTGAGTACTGGTATGTGGTACTGTGTTGAGTACTGGTATGTGGTACTGTGTTGAGTACTGGTATGTGGTACTGTGTTGAGTACTGGTATGTGGTACTGTGTTGAGTACTGGTATGTGGTACTGTGTTGAGTACTGGAATGTGGTACTGTGTTGAGTACTGGTATGTGGTACTGTGTTGAGTACTGGCATGTGGTACTGTGTTCAGTACTGGTATGTGGTACTGTGTTCAGCACTGATATGTGGTACTGTGTTCAGTACTGGCATGTGGTATTGTGTTCAGTACTGGTATGTGGTACTGTGTTGAGTACTGGTATGTGGTACTATGTTGAGTACTGGTATGTGGTAATGTGTTGAGTACTGGTATGAGGTACCATGTTGAGTACTGGTATGTGGTACTGTGTTGAGCACTGGCATGTGGTATTGTGTTGAGTACTGGTATGAGGTACCATGTTGAGTACTGGTATGTGGTACTGTGTTGAGTACTGGTATGTGGTACTGTGTTTACTGGTATGTCGTACTGTGTTGAGTACTGGTATGTGGTACCATGTTTAGTACTGGTATGTGGTACCGTGTTGAGTACTGGTATGTGGTACTGTGTTGAGTACTGGTATGTGGTACTGTGTTGAGTACTGGTATGTGGTACTGTGTTGAGTACTGGTATGTGGTACTTTATTGAGTGCTGGTATGTGGTACTGTGTTGAGTACTGGTATGTGGTACCATGTTGAATGCTGGTATGTGGTACTGTGTTGAGTACTGGTATGTGGCACTGTGTTGAGTACTGGTATGTGGTACTATGTTGAGTACTGATATGTGGTACCATGTTGAGTACTGATATGTGGTACCATGTTGAGTGCTGGTATGTGGTACTGTGTTGAGTACTGGTATGTGGTACTGTGTTGAGTACTGGTATGTGGTACTTTATTGAGTGCTGGTATGTGGTACTGTGTTGAGTACTGGTATGTGGTACCATGTTGAATGCTGGTATGTGGTACTGTGTTGAGTACTGGTATGTGGCACTGTGTTGAGTACTGGTATGTGGTACTATGTTGAGTACTGGCATGTGGTACTATGTTGAGTACTGGTATACTGTACTGTGTTGAGTACTGGTATGTGGTACTATGAGTATTGGCATGTGGTACTGTGTTGAGTACTGGTATGTGATACTGTGTTGAGTACTGGTATGTGTTGAGTACTGGTATGTGGTACCATGTTGAGTACTGGTATGTGGTACTGTGTTGAGTACTGGTATGTGGTACCATGTTGAGTACTGGTATGTGGTACTGTGTTGAGTACTGGTATGTGGTACCATGTTGAGTACTGGTATGTGGTACTGTGTTGAGTACTGGTATGTGGTACTGTGTTGAGTACTGGTATGTGGTACTGTGTTGAGTACTGGTATGTGGTATTGCGTTGAGTACTAGAATGTGATACTATGTTGAGTACTGGTATGTGGTAGTTGAGTACTGGTATATGGTACTGTGTTGAGTACTGGTATATGGTACTGTGTTGAGTACTGGTATGTGGCACCATGTTGAGTACTGGTATGTGGTACCATGTTGAATGCTGGTATGTGGTACCATGTTGAGTACTGGTATGTAGTACAATGTTGAGTACTGGTATGTGGTACCATGTTGAGTACTGGTATGTGGCACCATGTTGAGTACTGGTATGTGGCACCATGTTGAGTACTGGTATGTGGCACCATGTTGAGTACTGGTATGTGGCACCATGTTGAGTACTGGTATGTGGCACCATTGAGTACTGGTATGTGGTACCATGTTGAGTACTGGTTTTGTGGTACCATGTTCAATGCTGGTATGTGGACACCATGTTTGAGTACTGGTATGTGGCACCATGTTGAGTACTGGTATGTGGCACCATGTTGAGTACTGGTATGTGGTACCATGTTGAGTACTGGTATGTGGTACCATGTTGAGTACTGGTATGTGGCACCATGTTGAGTACTGGTATGTGGCACATTTTTTGATTAGTACTGGTATGTGGTACCATGTTGAGTACTGGTATGTGGTACCATGTTGAATGCTGGTATGTGGTACCATGTTGAGTACTGGTATGTAGTACAATGTTGAGTACTGGTATGTGGTACCATGTTGAGTACTGGTATGTGGTACTGTGTTGAGTACTGGTATGTGGTACCATGTTGAGTATTGGTATGTGGTACCATGAGTACTGGTATGTGGTACCATGTTGAGTACTGGTATGTGGCACCATGTTGAGTACTGGTATGTGGTACCATGTTGAGTACTGGTATGTGGTACCGTGTTGAGTACTGGTATGTGGTACCATGTTGAGTACTGGTATGTGGTACCATGTTGAGTACTGGTATGTGGTACCGTGTTGAGTACTGGTATGTGGTACCATGTTGAGTACTGGTATGTGGTACCATGTTGAGTACTGGTATGTGGTACCGTGTTGAGTACTGGTATTGGTACCATGTTAGACTGGTATAGTGGTACTGTGTTGAGTACTGGTATGTGGTACCATGTTGAGTATTGGTATGTGGTACCATGAGTACTGGTATGTGGTACCATGTTGAGTACTGGTATGTGGCACCATGTTGAGTACTGGTATGTGGTACCATGTTGAGTACTGTAGTTGGTACCATGTTGAGTACTGGTATGTGGTACCATGTTGAGTACTGGTATGTGGTACCATGTTGAGTACTGGTATGTGGTACCGTGTTGAGTACTGGTATGTGGTACCATGTTGAGTACTGGTATGTGGTACCATGTTGAGTACTGGTATGTGGTACCGTGTTGAGTACTGGTATGTGGTACCATGTTGAGTACTGGTATGTGGTATTGCGTTGAGTACTAGAATGTGATACTATGTTGAATACTGGTATGTGGTACTGTGTTGAGTACTGGTATGTGGTACTGTGTTGTCTTATATAGTTCCACTACATACAGTTGTCTTATAAAGTTCCACTATATACAGTTGTCTTATAAAGTTCCACTATATACAGTTGTCTTATACAGTTCCACTATATACAGTTATCTTATAAAGTTCCACTATATACAGTTGTCTTATAAAGTTCCACTATATACAGTTGTCTTATACAGTTCCACTATATACAGTTGTCTTATACAGTTCCACTATATACAGTTGTCTTATAAAGTTCCACTATATACAGTTGTCTTATAAAGTTCCACTATATACAGTTGTCTTATACAGTTCCACTATATACAGTTATCTTATACAGTTCCACTATATACAGTTGTCTTATACAGTTCCACTATATACAGTTATCTTATACAGTTCCACTATATACAGTTTCTTAAAAAGTTCCATAAAATACAGTTATCTTATACAGTTCCACTATATACATTTTATCTTATACAGTTCCACTATATACAGTTGTCTTATACAGTTCCACTATATACAGTTATCTTATACAGTTCCACTATATACAGTTGTCTTATAAAGTTGCAGTATATACAGTTGTCTTATACAGTTCCACTATATACAGTTATCTTATACAGTTCCACTATATACAGTTATCTTATAAAGTTGCAGTATATACAGTTATCTTATACAGTTCCACTATATACGAGTTGTCTTATAAGTTCCACTATATACAGTTATCTTATAAGTTCCACTATATACAGTTATCTTACAGTTCCACTATATAAGTTATCTATACAGTTCCACTATATACAGTTGTCTTATACAGTTCCACTATATACAGTTATCTTATAAGTTCCACTATATACAGTTATCTTATAAGTTCCACTATATACAGTTATCTTATACAGTTCCACTATATAAGTTATCTTATAAAGTTCCATATATACAGTTGTCTTATACAGTTCCACTATATACAGTTATCTTATACAGTTCCACTATATACAGTTATCTTATAACAGTTCCACTATCACTTATACAGTTCATCTTTAGTACATGTTCCACTATATAGAGTATCTTATAAAGTTCCACTATATACAGTTATCTTATACAGTTCCACTATATATAATACATTGTTTCTTATAAGTTCCACTATATATAGTTGTCTTATACATTTTCCACTAATATACAGTTATCTTATAAAGTTCCACTATATACAGTTGTCTTATAAAGTTCCACTATATACAGTTGTCTTAAAACAGTTCCACTATATACAGTTTTCTTATAACATTCCACTATATACAGTTGTCTTATACAGTTCCACTATATACAGTTATCTTATACAGTTCCACTATATACAGTTGTCTTATACAGTTCCACTATATAGAGTTATCTTATACAGTTCCACTATATACAGTTGTCTTATACAGTTCCACTATATACAGTTGTCTTATACAGTTCCACTATATACAGTTATCTTATACAGTTTCACTATATACAGTTGTCTTATACAGTTCCACTATATAGAGTTATCTTATACAGTTGCAGTATATAGCGTCAACTAACAGAACTTTGCAATGTTGCAGGAACAAGCCAACAACATGGATCTGGAACTTTTCGAAGCTCTTTTGGCCAACATGCAACAGAGTTTACCTCAGGGTAGCTACGATGATGTTGATGATGAAGACGAAGATGATGATTACGATGATGAAGATGACGATGAAGATGATGATTATGACTATGGTGGCCATGAGCACAACATTCATACCATGGCCAACCCCTTCGGTGGGGGTGATGGGGGCGGGGCCATGGGTAGTGGGGACATGAGTTCCCTGCCTACCATGCAGACCATGAGTATATTGCAGGGTTTGTTGAATATGAACCCTGCTGCCCTCCCTGGTGGGGTTCCAGATCTGGCAGGGGGGCTTAGTGGCCCCATGAACCCTGGGATGGCAGGTATGGGGGCCCCCATGGATGGGGGAGCTGGTAGTTTCCTGTCAAATATGCCCTCATTTCTCCCTGCCATGAATCCTGAGATGGCAGGGTCTCTAGCAGGGGCATTTGCAGGGGGCATGAGTGCCCTGATGGATGGGTTCACTGGAGGTAATAGCGGGGCAACTATCCATGAGTATGATGAGGATGATGAGTTGTTGTCGGATGAGGAAGACGAGGAGGATGAGGATGATATTGATGAGAGAGTGGGCATGGGTACTGTGGCTACAGCAGCGGCAGGGGTAGCTGTGGGAGGCCTCATGGCCCCTGGGATACTTGGGTCCCACCCAGGGCATGGGGCCATACCAGGGCACACTCAGCACCCTGGTAATGCCATGCTCTCTGGGCATCCTCCTACAATAGGCTTCACACATGGCTATACCCCAGGCGACATGATGCCCTCGCCCTCTTGTCACACCCAGATGCCCCACATACCCACACCAATGCACCATACCAACATGGCCCCTAGCATAAGCGGGGGCACTGTCAGAAGCGTCGACCCACTGGCTGGCATGCCCATGGCTCTAGCTGGCATTGCAACAGGAGCCAGCATACTGGCTCCTGTTGTCAACAGTCTTTCCTCCTGTGGTGGACAGTCACTGACTAAATTGAACAGTTCTGACACCTCAAGTGTCACCCTTGTTGGTAATGACTCTCTCAATAGTTCCACAAGAACGCTACCTACAGGGGAACGTCAAGTGGACCAATCTCTAAACGGCTCTACAAGAACGCTACCTACAGGGGAACGTCAAGTGGACCAGTCTCTAAACGGCTCTACAAGAACGCTACCTACACTGGAACGTCAAGTGGACCAATCTCTAAACGCCTCTACAAGAACGCTACCTACACTGGAACGTCAAGTGGACCAGTCTCTCAACAGTTCTACGAGAACTTTACCTACAAGTGAACGTCAGGCTGATGCTGACGTCTTAGCTGCAACATCAGCTCTTGAAAAGATGCACATCACCCCTCAGAAAGCCGATGCGAAGCTTCCTAGTCAAGCTCCAGCTCCAGCCACGAAAGAGGCTGCAAAAGACAGTAAAGAGGAAGTTGAAAGCGAAGATGAAGAAAATGAAATTATTGAAGCAAGGGAAGAAGATGCCAGGCCTACAAGAGTGGTATCCCCTTTGAGCAAGCAAGAGGCGCCAAAGTCGACTCTTGGAGTAGTCCCAGTTCCCGGGGCTGACGTTGCTGATGGGAAATCAGACACTGAGAGCGTCAGAAAGAAGACCCCATCTCCAGTTTTGCTGGATAAGTTGGGTAGGTTAAGCCCTACAGGTAGTGAGTCTACTCCAGTCTTGGAGTCAGCTAGCTGTGCCTCCATGAGTGACTTAGCTAGTGCTACTGAATCCATGCGGGACTCAGATACTGACAACCACTCAGATGCTCACAATGTAACAGCCAATCTATCAGATCTGGACAATGATTTGCAGGAAAGTCAGCAGAAAACCAGACCTGGCCCACAATATGCCGTAGGCCCACTGCCATTTATCATAGAAAAGCCAACCTTCGGATGGCAGTGCATGATAGGCCTAGACACAGCCAAGGAGGCCTTAAAAAACCTTTTTGTGAGTGAATCCTTCCCCGAAGTATTCGAGGGGACACAAGGTACTTGCAAAGGTGTACTCCTATTTGGCCCATCAGGGTCTGGAAAGACCTGTCTAGCAAGGGCACTAGCTAAAGAGGCCAACGATGCCATATCAATAGGTATATCATCAGCATATCTCGCTACCCAGCCGCCACATGATACCCCGAGGATTGTGAGGTACATGTTTGACATGCTAGGCTGCATGGTCCAGCAGTTATTCTCTTCGACGAGGTTCATGCACTTAGTTACGACCGGACCAGCGAGACGGCGATCAGAGCAAAGGCTGAATTACTTGCCCAAATCAGAGGTGAGATTATCACACACTTACTCTTTATAAGTTCCTCTCTTTACACTCACTTTTCTTATCAAGTTCCACTGTATAAAGTCAGTTTTATAAAGTTCCACTGTATAAAGTCAGTTTTCTTATAAAGTTCCACTGTATAAGTCAGTTTTCTTATAAAGTTTATTCCACAGTATAAGTCAGTTTTATAAAGTTCCACTGTATAAAGTCAGTTTTCTTATAAAGTTCCACTGTATAAGTCAGTTTTCTTATAAAGTTCCACTGTATAAGTCAGTTTTCTTATAAAGTTCCACTGTATAAGTCAGTTTTCTTATAAAGTTCCACTGTATAAGTCAGTTTTCTTATAAAGTTCCACTGTATAAAGTCAGTTCTATAAAGTTCCTCTATACAGCCTTATCCATGTATTATCCAGTCTTGAATAACAAAAAAACTGTATAATTTACCCATTATCCAAGCATTACTTGCTCTTATCCAAGCATTACTCTTATCCAAGCACCACTATTATCCAGGCACCACTATTATCCAAGCACCACTATTATCCAAGCACCATTATTAACAGTGACCACGACCGTCTTAATTTATCCAATTATCCACAGGGACAACCACGCTACATCCGCCTTATCCATCTCGCATCGACGCTAACTCCATCAACGAAGGGATAATGGTCCTGGGAACCACTAACCAGCCCTGGATGTTAGAGGACCAACTAAGAAGAATATTCACCTATAATATCCATGTCAAACTTCCGGGAGAGAAGGCAAGAGAGGAACTGTTCAGGATGTTCCTGCAATCCTTATCCCACACCATCAATAATGACCAGTTTAAGTGTCTAGTGGCTAAAAGTGAAGGGTGAGTGTTATCCAGGGGTTAATGTGTGCTATCCAGGGGTTAATGTGTGTTATCCAGGGGTCAATGTGTGTTATCCAGGGGTTAATGTGTGTTATCCAGGGGTTATTAGCTAATATCTAAGCATTACTAGGTATTATCCAGGGGTTATTACCTAATATCTAAGCATTACTAGGTATTATCCAGGGTTATTACCTAATATCTAAGCATTACTAGGTATTATCCAGGGTTATTAGCTAATATCTAAGTATTACTAGGTATTATCCAGGGTTATTAGCTAATATCTAAGCATTACTAGGTATTATCCAGGGGTTATTAGCTAATATCTAAGCATTACTAGGTATTATCCAGGGGTTATTAGCTAATATCTAAGCATTACTAGGTATTATCCAGGGGTTATTACCCAAGGGGCTCTGGTGGCCTGGTGGTTAACGCTCTCGCTTCACACGGTGAGGGCCTGGGTTCGATTCCCAGCCAGAGTAGAAACATTGGACGTGTTTCTTTCCACCTGTTGTCTATGTTCCCCATCAGTAAAATGGGTACCTGGGTGTTAGTCGACTGGTGTGGGTCGCATCCTGGGACACTGACCTAAGGAGGCCTGGTCACAGACCGGGCCGCGGGGGCGTTGACCCCCGGAACTCTCTCCAGATAAACTCCAGATAATATCTAAGCATCACTAGGTATTATCCAGGGTTATTACCGAATATCTAAGCATTACTAGGTATTATCCAGGGTTATTGCCTAATATCTAAGCATTACTAGGTATTATCCAGGGTTATTGCCTAATATCTAAGCATTACTAGGTATTATCCAGGGGTTATTACCTAATATCTAAGCATTACTAGGTATCCAGGGTTATTACCTAATATCTAAGCATTACCAGGTATCCAGGGTTATTACCTAATATCTAAGCATTACTAGGTATTATCCAGGCTTATTAGCTAATATCTAAGCATTACTAGGTATTATCCAGGGTTATTAGCTAATATCTAAGCATTGCTAGGTATTATCCAGGGTTATTAGCTAATATCTAAGCATTACTAGGTATTATCCAGGGTTATTAGCTAATATCTAAGCATTACTAGGTATTATCCAGGCTTATTAGCTATATTATCTAACAGGGCATTACCTTACTAGGTATTATCCAGGGTTATTAGCTAATATCTAAGCATTACTAGGTATTATCCAGGGGTTATTACCTAATATCTAAGCATTACTAGGTATTATCCAGGGTTATTACCTAATATCTAAGCATTACTAGGTATTATCCAGGGTTATTACCTAATATCTAAGCATTACTAGGTATTATCCAGGGTTATTAGCTAATATCTAAGCATTACTAGGTATTATCCAGGGTTATTAGCTAATATCTAAGCATTACTAGGTATTATCCAGGGTTATGCAATGTTAATAAGTGTTATCCAGGGGTTAATAAATATTATCCAGGGTTAATAAGTATACCCAGAAGTTAAGTATTATCCTATGGTTAATAAGGGTTACCCAGGGGTTAATAAGAATTATCCAGGGTTTAATAAGTGTTATCCAGGCATTACTAGCTATTATCCAAGGATTTATATCCAGGAAAAACTAGCTATTATTCAACCATTACTATTATCCAGGTATTACTTGTGTTCAGCCATTGTGATTATCCAAGAATAACTAGCTATTATCCATAACATCTGCCTTATTACAGGTACTCAGCAGCTGACATCAACACTGTACTCAGACAAGTACCTAGAGTACCAGCCAGTGATGGTAGCAAGTACATACAGAATGTACCACCACCTCTTACATATGTAAGTGCTCAACCTGTACTCTAAAGGATGAGTGAGAATGTTACAGTTCTGGAGGTGGGAAGTAAAGTACCTGTACTCTGAAGGATGAGTGAGGATGTTACAGTTCTGGAGGTGGGAAGTACAGTACCTGTACTCTGAAGGATGAGTGAGAATGTTACAGTTCTGGAGGTGGGAAGTACAGTACCTGTACTCTGAAGGATGAGTGAGAATGTTACAGTTCTGGAGGTGGGAAGTACAGTACCTGTACTCTGAAGGATGAGTGAGGATGTTATTGTTCTGGAGGTGGGAAGTACAGTACCTGTACTCTGAAGGATGAGTGAGAATGTTACAGTTCTGGAGGTGGGAAGTACAGTACCTGTACTCTGAAGGATGAGTGAGGATGTTACAGTACTGGAGGTGGGAAGTACAGCACAGTACCTGTACTCTGAATGATGAGTGAGGATGTAACAGTACTGGAGGTGGAAAGTACAGTACAGTACCTGTACTCTGAATGATGAGTGGATGTTACAGAACTGGAGGTGGGAAGTACAGCACAGTACCTGTACTCTGAATGATGAGTGGATGTTACAGAACTGGAGGTGGGAAGTACAGCACAGTACCTGTACTCTGAATGAGTGAGGATGTTACAGTACTGGAGGTGGAAAGTACAGTGGTTGTATGCCTTTTTATCATTTAACATGTTTCTTGATTAATACAGTTGATACAGTACTCTTCTCTCCCACAGGACGACCTCGCTACAGTAATGACAGACTACAGATGCGGCTTTACTGAAGAGATATCAGTGAGATATCAGACCTACATCAAGGCTGCAACCCACAGAACAGGTGAGAATTAGATCAGTTTAGGTCTGGAGCCCCTGTGATCTGTGGCCACTTACTAGAGGGCACCTAGGGCCATATTTCTGGTCCATTCTGGACCACTGATCACAAGTGGACCAATATCAATTGTGATGTAAGAGTGGTCCAGTATGGACCACTCTTACACTGTTCCTTATCATTACCTTTGACATACCTATGAGTTCTGAGATTTTTTTCGCCACCTGGAGCCTGGTCATGGGCCAGGTTGGCCCGGTGCTGGCCTGGTCAACCATGCTCGCTTGGTGCTGGCCTGGTCAACCATGCTGGTTTGGTGCTGGACTGGTCAACCATGCTGGCCCAGTGCTGGCCTGGTTAACCATGCTGGCCCAGTGCTGGACTGGTCAACCATGCTGGCCCAGTGCTGGCCTGGTTAACCATGCTGGCTTGATGCTGGTCTGGTCAACCATGCTGGCCCAGTGCTGGCCTGGTCAACCATGCTGGCTTGGTGCTGGACTGGTCAACCATGCTGGCCCAGTGCTGGCCTGGTTAACCATGCTGGCTTGATGCTGGTCTGGTCAACCATGCTGGCCCAGTGCTGGCCTGGTCAACCATGCTGGCTCGGTGCTGGCCTGGTCAACCATGCTGGCCCAGTGCTGGCCTGGTCAACCATGCTGGCTTGATGTTCGTCTGGTCAACCATGCTGGCCCAGTGCTGGCTGGTTAACCATGCTGGCCCAGGTGCTGGACTAGGTCAACCATGCTGGCCCAGTGCTGGCCTGGTTAACCATGCTGGCCCATGCTGGATGGTCAACATGGCCAGTGGGCCTGGTCAACCATGCTGGCTTGGTGCTGGACTGGTCAACCATGCTGGCAGTGCTGGCCTGGTTAACCATGCTGGCTTATGCTGGTCTGGTCAACCATGCTGGCCCGGGTGCTGGCCATGGTCAACCATGCTGGCTCGGTGCTGGCCTGGTCAACCATGCTGGCCCAGTGCTGGCCTGGTCAACCATGCTGGCTCGGTGCTGGCCTGGTTAACCATGCTGGCCCGGTGCTGGCCTGGTCAACCATGCTGGCTTGATGCTGGTCTGGTCAACCATGCTGGCCCAGTGCTGGCCTGGTCAACCATGCTGGCTCGGTGCTGGCCTGGTTAACCATGCTGGCTTGATGCTGGTCTGGTCAACCATGCTGGCTCGGTGCTGGCTGGTAACCATGCTGGCTGATGCTGGCCTGGTAAACCCTATGCGGGCTTGATGCTGGTCTGGTCAACCATGCTGGCCCAGTGCTGGCCTGGTCAACCATGCTGGCTTGATGTTGGTCTGGTCAACCATGCTGGCCCAGTGCTGGCCTGGTCAACCATGCTGGCTTGATGCTGGTCTGGTCAACCATGCTGGCTTGGTGCTGGCCTGGTTAACCATGCTGGCTTGATGCTGGTCTGGTCAACCATGCTGGCCCAGTACTGGCCTGGTCAACCATGCTGGCTTGGTGCTGGCCTGGTTAACCATGCTGGCTTGTGTGGCCTGGTCAACCATGCTGGCTGATCTGGTTGGTCACCATCTGCTGGCTTGGTGGCCTGTGTCAACCATGCTGCTTGTGCTGCCTGGTCAACCATGCTGGCTGCCATGCTGGCCCTGGTCAACCATGCTGGCTTGGTGCTGGCCTGGTCAACCATGCTGGCTTGGTGCTGGACTGGTCAACCATGCTGGCTCGATGCTGGCCTGGTCAACCATGCTGGCTTGATGCTGGTCTGGTCAACCATGCTGGCCCAGTGCTGGCCTGGTCAACCATGCTGTGGTGCTGGCTGTAACCATGCTGGCCATGATGCTGGCTGGTCAACCATGCTGGCTCGTGCTGGCTGGTTAACCATGCTGGCTGATGCTGGCCGGGTTTCAACCATGCTGGCTTGATGCTGGTCTGGTCAACCATGCTGGCCCAGTGCTGGCCTGGTCAACCATGCTGGCTTGATGCTGGTCTGGTCAACCATGCTGGCCCAGTGCTGGCCTGGTCAACCATGCTGGCTTGATGCTGGTCTGGTCAACCATGCTGGCTTGGTGCTGGCCTGGTTAACCATGCTGGCTTGATGCTGGTCTGGTCAACCATGCTGGCCCAGTACTGGCCTGGTCAACCATGCTGGCTTGGTGCTGGCCTGGTTAACCATGCTGGCTTGATGCTGGCCTGGTCAACCATGCTGGCTTGATGCTGGTCTGGTCAACCATGCTGGCTTGGTGCTGGCCTGGTCAACCATGCTGGCTTGATGCTGGCCTGGTCAACCATGCTGGCTTGATGCTGGTCTGGTCAACCATGCTGGCTTGGTGCTGGCCTGGTCAACCATGCTGGCTTGATGCTGGCCTGGTCAACCATGCTGGCTTGATGCTGGCCTGATCAACCATGCTGGCTTGGTGCTGGCCTGGTTAACCATGCTGGCTTGATGCTGGCCTGGTCAACCATGCTGGCTTGGTCAACCATGCTGGCTTGATGCTGGCCTGGTCAACCATGCTAGCTTGGTGCTGGCCTGGTCAACCATGCTGGCTTGATGCTGGCCTGGTCAACCATGCTGGCTTGGTGCTGGCCTGGTTAACCACGTGATGCTGGCTGGTCAACCATGCTGGCCTGGTCAACCATGCTGGCTTGATGCTGGCCTGATCAACCATGCTGGCTTGGTGCTGGCCTGGTTAACCATGCTGGCTTGATGCTGGCCTGGTCAACCATGCTGGCCTGGTCAACCATGCTGGCCCAGTACTGGCCTGGTCAACCATGCTGGTTTGATGCTGGTCTGGTCAACCATGCTGGCTTGATGCTGGTCTGGTCAACCATGCTGGCCCAGTGCTGGCCTGGTCAACCATGCTGGCTTGGTGCTGGCCTGGTCAACCATGCTGGCTCGGTGCTGGCCTGGTTAACCATGCTGGCTTGATGCTGGTCTGGTCAACCATGCTGGCCCAGTGCTGGTCTGATCAACCATGCTGGCTTGGTGCTGGCCTGGTCAACCATGCTGGCTCGGTGCTGGCCTGGTCAACCATGCTGGCTCGGTGCTGGCCTGGTCAACCATGCTGGCTTGATGCTGGTCTGGTCAACCATGCTGGCCCAGTGCTGGCCTGGTCAACCATGCTGGCTTGGTGCTGGCCTGGTCAACCATGCTGGCTCGGTGCTGGCCTGGTCAACCATGCTGGCTTGATGCTGGCCTGGTCAACCATGTTGTTGCTGCTGTAGTTGGAACTTATCACCACTGAACATCACTGGAAAACACTTCTTATATCTTCATGTAATTTTTCAGTGTCTTCTGCCGTAGTAACTTTCATTCTTATTTTAGTGTCATTTGCAAAATGATGGTTGTTATGAGGATGTTAACCAGCAGAGGTGCCAGGACAGTGCCTTGGGGAGATGATAACCAGCAGAGGTGCCAGGACAGTGCCTTGGGGAGATGATAACCAGCAGAGGTGCCAGGACAGTGCCTTGGGGAGATGATAAACAGCAGAGGTGCCAGGACAGTGCCTTGGGGAGATGATAAACAGCAGAGGTGCCAGGACAGTGCCTTGGGGAGATGATAAACAGCAGAGGTGCCAGGACAGTGCCTTGGGAGATGATAAACAGCAAGGTACCAGGACAGTGCCCTGGGGAGATGATAAACAGCAGAGGTGCCAGACAGTGCCTGGGGAGATGATAAACAGCAGAGGTGCCAGGACAGTGCCTTGGGGAGATGATAAACAGCAGAGGTGCCAGGACAGTGCCTTGGGGAGATGATAAACAGCAGAGGTACCAGGACAGTGCCCTGGGGAGATGATAAACAGCAGAGGTGCCATGACAGTGCCCTGGGGAGATGATAAACAGCAGAGGTGCCAGGACAGTGCCTTGGGGAGATGATAAACAGCAGAGGTGCCAGGACAGTGCCTTGGGGAGATGATAAACAGCAGAGGTGCCAGGACAGTGCCTTGGGGAGATGATAAACAGCAGAGGTACCATGACAGTGCCTTGGGGAGATGATAAACAGCAGAGGTGCCAGGACAGTGCCCTGGGGAGATGATAAACAGCAGAGGTGCCAGGACAGTGCCCTGGGGAGATGATAAACAGCAGAGGTACCAGGACAGTGCCCTGGGGAGATGATAAACAGCAGAGGTACCAGGACAGTGCCCTGGGGAGATGATAAACAGCAGAGGTGCCAGGACAGTGCCTTGGGGAGATGATAAACAGCAGAGGTGCCAGGACAGTGCCCTGGGGAGATGATAAACAGCAGAGGTGCCAGGACACTGCCTTGGGGAGATGATAAACAGCAGAGGTGCCAGGACAGTGCCTTGGGGAGATGATAAACAGCAGAGGTGCCATGACAGTGCCTTGGGGAGATGATAAACAGCAGAGGTGCCAGGACACTGCCTTGGGGAGATGATAAACAGCAGAGGTGCCAGGACACTGCCTTGGGGAGATGATAAACAGCAGAGGTGCCATGACAGTGCCTTGGGGAGATGATAAACAGCAGAGGTGCCAGGACACTGCCTTGGGGAGATGATAAACAGCAGAGGTGCCAGGACAGTGCCTTGGGGAGATGAGAAACAGCAGAGGTACCAGGACAGTGCCTTGGGGAGATGAGAAACAGCAGAGGTGCCAGGACAGTGCCCTGGGGAGATGATAAACAGCAGAGGTACCAGGACAGTGCCCTGGGCAGATGATAAACAGCAGAGGTGCCAGGACAGTGCCCTGGGGAGATGATAAACAGCAGAGGTGCCAGGACAGTGCCCTGGGGAGATGATAAACAGCAGAGGTGCCAGGACATGCCCTGGGGAGATGATAAACGCAGAGGTGCCAGGACAGTGCCTTGGGGAGATGAGAAACAGCAGAGGTGCCAGGACAGTGCCCTTGGGGAGATGATAAACAGCAGAGGTCCAGGACAGTGCCCTGGGGAGATGATAAACAGCAGAGGTGCCAGGACAGTGCCCTGGGGAGATGATAAACAGCAGAGGTGCCAGGACAGTGCCCTGGGGAGATGATAAACAGCAGAGGTGCCAGGACAGTGCCCTGGGGAGATGTAAACAGCAGAGGTGCCAGGACAGTGCCTGGGGAGATGATAAACAGCAGAGGTGCCAGGACAGTGCCCTGGGGAGATGTTAAACAGCAGAGGTGCCAGGACAGTGCCTGGGGAGATGATAAACAGCAGAGGTGCCAGGACAGTGCCTGGGGAGATGATAAACAGCAGAGGTGCCAGGACAGTGCCTGGGGAGATGATAAACAGCAGAGGTGCCAGGACAGTGCCTGGGGAGATGATAAACAGCAGAGGTGCCAGGACAGTGCCTTGGGGAGATGATAAACAGCAGAGGTGCCATGACAGTGCCTTGGGGAGATGATAAACAGCAGAGGTGCCAGGACAGTGCCCTGGGGAGATGATAAACAGCAGAGGTACCAGGACAGTGCCTTGGGAGATGATAAACAGCAGAGGTACCAGGACAGTGCCTGGGGAGATGATAAACAGCAGAGGTGCCAGGACAGTGCCTTGGGGAGATGATAAACAGCAGAGGTGCCATGACAGTGCCTTGGGGAGATGATAAACAGCAGAGGTGCCAGGACAGTGCCTTGGGGAGATGATAAACAGCAGAGGTGCCAGGACAGTGCCTTGGGGAGATGATAAACAGCAGAGGTACCATGACAGTGCCTTGGGGAGATGATAAACAGCAGAGGTGCCAGGACAGTGCCCTGGGGAGATGATAAACAGCAGAGGTGCCAGGACAGTGCCCTGGGGAGATGATAAACAGCAGAGGTACCAGGACAGTGCCCTGGGGAGATGATAAACAGCAGAGGTGCCAGGACAGTGCCTTGGGGAGGTGATAAACAGCAGAGGTGATATGACAGTGCCTTGGGGAGATGATAAACAGCAGAGGTGCCAGGACAGTGCCTTGGGGAGATGATAAACAGCAGAGGTGCCAGGACAGTGCCTTGGGGAGATGATAAACAGCAGAGGTACCATGACAGTGCCTTGGGGAGATGATAAACAGCAGAGGTGCCAGGACAGTGCCCTGGGGAGATGATAAACAGCAGAGGTGCCAGGACAGTGCCCTGGGGAGATGATAAACAGCAGAGGTACCAGGACAGTGCCCTGGGGAGATGATAAACAGCAGAGGTGCCAGGACAGTGCCTTGGGGAGATGATAAACAGCAGAGGTGCCAGGACAGTGCCTTGGGGAGATGATAAACAGCAGAGGTGCCATGACAGTGCCTTGGGGAGATGATAAACAGCAGAGGTGCCAGGACAGTGCCTTGGGGAGATGATAAACAGCAGAGGTACCAGGACAGTGCCTTGGGGAGATGATAAACAGCAGAGGTACCATGACAGTGCCTTGGGGAGATGATAAACAGCAGAGGTGCCAGGACAGTGCCTTGGGGAGATGATAAACAGCAGAGGTGCCAGGACAGTGCCTTGGGGAGATGATAAACAGCAGAGGTGCCATGACAGTGCCCTGGGGAGATGATAAACAGCAGAGGTGCCAGGACACTGCCTTGGGGAGATGATAAACAGCAGAGGTGCCAGGACAGTGCCTTGGGGAGATGATAAACAGCAGAGGTGCCATGGACAGTGCCTTGGGGAGATGATAAACAGCAGAGGTGCCAGGACAGTGCCTTGGGGAGATGATAAACAGCAGAGGTGCCAGACAGTGCCTTGGGGAGATGATAAACAGCAGAGGTGCCATGACAGTGCCCTGGGGAGATGATAAACAGCAGAGGTGCCAGGACACTGCCTTGGGGAGATGATAAACAGCAGAGGTGCCAGGACAGTGCCTTGGGGAGATGATAAACAGCAGAGGTGCCAGGACAGTGCCTTGGGGAGATGATAAACAGCAGAGGTGCCAGGACAGTGCCTTGGGGAGATGAGAAACAGCAGAGGTACCAGGACAGTGCCTTGGGGAGATGAGAAACAGCAGAGGTACCAGGACAGTGCCTTGGGGAGATGAGAAACAGCAGAGGTACCAGGACAGTGCCTTGGGGAGATGAGAAACAGCAGAGGTGCCATGACAGTGCCTTGGGGAGATGATAAACAGCAGAGGTGCCAGGACAGTGCCCTGGGGAGATGATAAACAGCAGAGGTGCCATGACAGTGCCCTGGGGAGATGATAAACAGCAGAGGTGCCATGACAGTGCCCTGGGGAGATGATAAACAGCAGAGGTGCCAGGACAGTGCCCTGGGGAGATGATAAACAGCAGAGGTGCCATGACAGTGCCCTGGGAAGATGATAAACAGCAGAGGTGCCAGGACAGTGCCCTGGGGAACTGAACTTTTTACCTCTGTTTATTGCTACTTTTTGTGTTGTGTGTATTAGGAACCAGAAAATCCGTCTGCCTATAGCGCTATATGCCTATGGCCTTCATTTTGTGTGCTATCACCCATGATCACGTGTTTGTAGATTAATGGTTCAGAGAACCGACATGTTGATAAATTAGACACATGTGCAACTCTTGGGTACCTTTACTGAGGAAACGTTTAGCCACACAGTGGCTTCATCAGTCCATACACAGGATAAACTTGAAGAACAGGAGATTGAGGACTGAACACATCGACTCAAGGTTGAGGGACTGATTACCTCATTCTCCTCCTGTTCTTCAAGTTTCTCCTACGTATGGACTGATGAAGCCACTGTGTGGCGAAACGTTTTCTCAATAAAGATACCCAAGAGTTGCACATGTGTCTAATTTATCATGATCACGTGTGTCAAACACCACTGCAAAGTCTGTGTATATCACATCTGCATTTTGGTTGCCTTGCAGTGCCTCTAATTCTGTCATAGTGGTTCAGTTGATGTGACAGATGGTTCAGCTAGTGTGACAGGTGGTTAAGCTAGTGTGACAGGTGGTTAAGCTAGTGTGACAGGTGGTTAAGCTAGTGTGACAGGTGGTTAAGCTAGTGTGACAGGTGGTTAAGCTAGTGTGACAGGTGGTTAAGCTAGTGTGACAGGTGGTTAAGCTAGTGTTACAGGTGGTTAAGCTAGTGTGACAGATGGTTCAGCTAGTGTGACAGGTGGTTAAGCTAGTGTGACAGGTGGTTAAGCTAGTGTGACAGGTGGTTAAGCTAATGTGACAGGTGGTTAAGCTAGTGTGACAAATGGTTCAGCTAGTGTGACAGGTGGTTAAGCTAGTGTGACAGATGGTTCAGCTAGTGTGACAGGTGGTTAAGCTAATGTGACAGGTTGAGTTAAAGAGCTAGTGTGACAGGTGGTTAAGCTAGTGTGACAGATGGTTCAGCTAGTGTGACAGGTGGTTAAGCTAGTGTGACAGGTGGTTAAGCTAGTGTGACAGGTGGTTAAGCTAGTGTGACAGGTGGTTAAGCTAGTGTGACAGGTGGTTAAGCTAGTGTGACAGTGGTTAAGCTGTGTGACAGGTGGTTAAGCTAGTGTGACAGGTGGTTCAGCTAGTGTGACAGGTGGTTAAGCTAGTGTGACAGATGGTTCAGCTAGTGTGACAGGTGGTTAAGCTAGTGTGACAGGTGGTTAAGCTAGTGTGACAGGTGGTTAAGCTAGTGTGACAGATGGTTCAGCTAGTGTGACAGGTGGTTAAGCTAGTGTGACAGGTGGTTAAGCTAGTGTGACAGGTGGTTAAGCTAGTGTGACAGGTGGTTAAGCTAGTGTGACAGGTGGTTAAGCTAGTGTGACAGGTGGTTTAAGCTAGTGTGACAGGTGGTTCAGCTAGTGTGATAGGTGGTTAAGCTAGTGTGACAGGTGGTTAAGCTAGTGTGACAGGTGGTTGAGCTAGTGTGACAGGTGGTTAAGCTAGTGTGACAGGTGGTTAAGCTAGTGTGACAGGTGGTTCAGCTAGTGTGACAGATGGTTCAGCTAGTGTGACAGGGGTTAAGCTAGTGTGACAGGTGGTTAAGCTAGTGTGACAGGTGGTTAAGCTAGTGTGACAGGTGGTTAAGCTAGTGTGACAGGTGGTTAAGCTAGTGTGACAGGTGGTTAAGCTAGTGTGACAGATGGTTCAGCTAGTGTGACAGGTGGTTATCCTAGTGTGACAGGTGGTTAAGCTAGTGTGACAGGTGGTTAACCCTAGTGTGACAGGTAGTTAAGCTAGTGTGACAGGTGGTTAAGCTAGTGGGGACAGGTGGTTAAGCTAGGGGTGACAGTGGTTAAGCTAGTGTGACAGGTGGTTAAGCTAGTGTGACAGGTGGTTCAGCTAGTGTGACAGGTGTTATCCTAGTGTGACAGGTGGTTAACTAGTGTGACAGGTGGTTAGCTAGTGTGACAGGTGGTTCAGCTAGTGTGACAGGTGGTTACCTAGTGTGACAGGTGGTTAAGCTAGTGTGACAGGTGGTTAAGCTAGTGTGACAGGTGGTTAAGCTAGTGTGACAGGTGGTTCAGCTAGTGTGACAGGTGGTTAAGCTAGTGTGACAGGTGGTTCAGCTAGTGTGACAGGTGGTTAAGCTAGTGTGACAGGTGGTTAAGCTAGTGTGACAGGTGGTTAAGCTAGTGTGACAGGTGGTTCAGCTAGTTGACAGTGGTTACCTAGGTGACAGGTGGTTAAGCTATGTGACAGGTGGTTAAGCTAGTGTGACAGGTGGTTAAGCTAGTGCTCTATTACCTTATACAAAGGGCTATGTCTACACCTAAGTGTTGTTGTATAAGAATCCTAGGTGTTCTTTGGTCATGTTCTATACAAGGTCTAATATTTTCCACTTTCTCCACAGAAGAGAGACGAGATGACTCCAAGAGCGACAAGAGCAACAAACCCAAAGGGGTGAGGAAATTCGGTCAGAAGATTGCCAAGTCCATCGCTGCCGCGCTCGTTGCTGTGATAGATTAAGCCTCCAATAGATAGTCATGAAAAGACAGGCCCTGGAGGAAGGTCCATCCCCACGTTACACCATTGCATCAGCCTGGGACGAGGTCGTTGCAAGTCGCTTCGGTGTAATTAACAGTGTCTGTGATGTAGAACTCTCTTTTTGGTTTTAGACCTACACTGACCACAACCCAGGCTGAGTACGCATGACTGAGTACCGTCGCTGGTCATTGCGACAATGGCGTTCGCATTTTTAAGAGTTCGAAGTGCACTGGGGGCCCTCAACTGGGGTCAAAAGTCCATAGTCACTTGAGTCATTTCTTAAATACCCCAACAAGAACAACAACCACAATCTACAAGCAATATATGCCTAGCAGTCTTCCCTACCAGCGATAGTCGACCATACCCACAATCCTGCAGGCAGCCACTTATAGTGCAGCCTGCAGTCAAGGTTTACTGGATGCCTAGCAGCCTGCAGTCAAGGTTTACTGGATGCCTAGCAGCCTGCAGTCAAGGTTTACTGGATGCCTAGCAGCCTGCAGTCAAGGTTTACTGGATGCCTAGCAGCCTGCAGTCAAGGTTTACTGGATGCCTAGCAGCCTGCAGTCAAGGTTTACTGGATGCCTAGCAGCCTGCAGTCAAAATTTACTGGATGCCTAGCAGCTTGCAGTCAAGGTTTACTGGATGCCTAACAGCCTGCTGCTTGCAAGAATATTGCAGTGTTCTGCTTGCAGTGATAGTGACTTCAGAAAAACAGTTTCCTCATGAACTAGAGGTACTGATAAGTGCTGTCGAAGGCCTCTCTGAAGTTCATGGTGCTAGGAGCCATTAGGCACCTACTCGCTTGTGGTTTGCTGAAGGTTCTGCTGAAGTACCAGGTGTTCTGTGCCTTAATTAAGCACAAACTGTGCTCTGCTGTGCCTTGCTGTGCTGAAGCACTGATCGTACTCTACTGTAAGCACAATAGTGTGAGAATGCTGTGAAGGTAGCCAGGCTAACACACCAATGAACCTCCACTAACTACCATCACTCAAAGCTGTGGTAACTCACTATTAATGAAGACGGCTGGCCTATGCTGTACAAATCTCCGAAGTTGATAAACATTCATTTCACCTAAGTCACTTGATCTCAAAAAATTATATAAGAAATAAACTTCCCTTTCTATAACGTAGTTAAATGTTTTTTAGTGATTTTTCAAAGTGATAAATATAACAGTAAGTGTACTATTATTATTGTTATTATTATTATTATTATTATTATTATTATTATTATTATTATTATTAGTTGTTATTTACAGTTGGTATGGAAATCATTAAAGGAAATTCAATACCAGTCAGGAATATAATGGAGTGACGCAAAGTGACGTATCCAAGGATAAGACTTACTGTAAAGGATATTTTTTGTATTGGTGGGCATGCTACTAGCTACTGTGTGACTAAGAAATGCTTATGTATGCCACAGAGGCATGGGGTCAGAGGTATGGGGTGCATACTATATGGCATTGTTCCAACCTGCTCTTCTGCGCTTGGGGTGGATTCGCAAATGGCCTCTTTTCGCTGTTCTGGCAGGATATATACCCCTCTAAAAGTGTTTTGAAGTGTAAATGTCGATTTGAAATATATTTTATGGTCCTAGCTGCCTACTGCGTCCTTTTAAGAATGTCATTATGTGTGATGGTACAGATATTTCAAAGGTTCGAATTGCAAGATGCATTCGGAAGATGAATTATCTTGGGTTCAAGTGGTTCTGCTTGTTACGCTGTTGTAAGTGCTTAGGGTGGGTCCAGGGGCACTCTTTATTGACTAGGATTCTACAGAAGCAAGAGTGCCTCCTTGTAGAAGCCTATGAGCACTTACCAATGGTTCTACAGCCTTGGATGTGTAGGTTATGTAGTGTGACTGCAGTGAAGGTGCAGTATTGAAATGGTGTGTTACTGCAGTGATTGTTCAGGACTGCAGTGATGTTGCAGGACTGCAGTGAAGGTGTGGGCCTACAGTGATGTTGTAGGCCTACAGTGAAGGTGTAGGCCCACAGGACGGTGCTTATCCTAGGCTGGGGTGAAGGAATCCAGCTTATTGCTTTAATCTGTTTCACAGTTCTACAGTAAGGTAATTTGTGAAGGTAATTTGTGGACACAGCCATAGAGAAGAAATCCGGTGTGACGTTTCACCTGTGGAATCAAAGTCTCTGGCAGGGGCAAAACGTCTCTCTAAACCTGTTCTCCGCAATTGTCTCTCACAGTGAACTTTTTAAATGGGCTATGGTAGATATTTGTATTTATACATATATATATACTCCTGCTGTTTGGCATAACTTAAAGGGATCCTATGGACTTTTTGAGAAACAAGTCCCTGTGGAATTCCTCCACTTGTGGCCAATGGGTGAGCACCTATCCTGTATATATGCTAAATTCAGCTGCCCCTGTTTCGCTTACTTAGAAATATGGATGGTGAGCAGGTCCCCCAAATTTCCTGTGTGTTCCATGGTCACGGAGCCTACTCCACTACTGTCATGTCCTCCGATTTGTGAAATTCACTTGTTTTGCTGCATAGTCGGTTCTCTTCCATAGTTCCTCTGTATAATGCAGTTCATTGCAGATGCAACTGGGGAATTGCACTGAAAATAGAATAGTGTTTGCAGTGATGGTCTTCCAACATGATGTTCAATTTTCAATTAGTTTATCAATCGCTGTTCAATTTTCAGTGTTTTTAAGTCACTGTTTGATTTTCAGTGTAGTTTTCTAGTCGTTTCTGCAGAAAAATGACACTAGAAGCCATTGTATACGGGAACCGACTGTATTCTCAGTCAATTTTAAATCACAAATATATTTGCTGTACATGCATTTTGTTGATACGTCTGAGGACATGAAGGTGGGTTGGTCAAGCTGGTGGCCATGTTAGAGGGCCGAGATGTGCCTCCGGCCCTATGCTAGTATCTTCACCCATACCCCGAAATACTGATTACAGGTGTGAACAAGCTGACCGTTCTAATTTAAATATTGCATTAATAGAAGTCCTTTTTTTTTAGCTATTAAATTTTTTTTCAATGTCTAGGATTAAGTTCGACTGTTAAACAGTCTGGTGTCAAGTTTAACTTTGGTGTCGCCACAGATCTTTCTGGGCCGAGTGGGCCGCGTGTCTTCCTGGCCGCCCCTTGGCCCGCCCTTTAGTTTTAAATAATTGCCCTTTACTGGCCCTGACAATCCAAATGTGTTATAGTGTAGGAATATTCTTGTGTGGCTGATTGCCCAGCTGTTACATGGGGGCCTGCCCCCAGCTGTTACACGAGAGCCGTGGCTCTAGCTGTTATATGAGGACCAGTCTCCGTTACACGGGGGCCTGCCCCCAGCTGTTACACGAGAGCCGTGGCTCTAGCTGTTATATGAGGACCAGTCTCCGTTACACGGGGGCCTGACCCCAGCTGTTACACGAGAGCCGTGGCTCTAGCTGTTATATGAGGACCAGTCTCCGTTACACGGGGGCCTGCCCCCAGCTGTTACACGAGAGCCGTGGCTCTAGCTGTTATATGAGGACCAGTCTCGTTACACGGGGCCTGCCCCCAGTTGTTACACGAGAGCCGTGGCTCTAGCTGTTATATGAGGACCAGTCTCCGTTACACGGGGGCCTGCCCCCAGCTGTTACACGAGAGCCGTGGCTCTAGCTGTTACATGAGGGCCTGTCTCTGTTACATGGGGGCCTGCCCCCAGCTGTTACACAAGAGCTTTGGCTCTAGCTGTTACATGGGGGCCTTGGCCAGCTGTTAAAAGGAGGCCTGGCCCAACTGTTACATGGGGGCCTGGCCCAACTGTTACATGGGGGCCTCTCCCAACTGTTACATGGGGGCCTCTCCCAACTGTTACATGGGGGCCTCTCCCAAATGTTACATGGGGACCTCTCCCAACTGTTACATGGGGGCTTGGCCCAGCTGTTACATGGGGGCCTTGCCCAACTGTTACATAGGGGCCCGGCCTTCAGTGCGCATGATGGTGCCCTCCGCGTCAAGTAATTTTGGTCTTTATTGTACTGTAGAAAGAGTATATTTGATCAGAGACAATTGTTATATGACATGATGCGCACAAATAATTTATACGCAATCACAGTTCCCCATCCTTGTGCAGTGTGCGAGAAATGGCAATGGCCTCGGCCACCTGCATGTCATACACGGCCGCGTGTCGTACACAGCTGTGTGTTGTACATGGCCGCATGTCGTACATGACCGCGTGTCGCATATGACTGCCAGTGCAATAAGTGATTGATGCTAGCAGCTTGCAATGTTGATTGTTCCCGCCCCATCTCCCTAGCATTTAAGGAATACTGTCAACCATTGTGGAAAAACGCGTGTGTGCGTTTGTACTGTTTTAGCTATACGCTTTTATTATACCACTTCCCAGGCTTTTCAAACGATGCTTAACGACAATCCCACAGTGGTAATGAACACGTTTGCAAATGCACATGTGTGTGTGTGTGTAGTTCTGGAGCTAGTTCGAACAACAGTTATTTTATCTGGAAAAACGCCATCTGCATCCTGATGTGTCGTTTGAAAATTCTGGCCTTAGCTTCTGCTATATACTTTAATACCTGTGGTTGCTGGTGTTTTTTTATGATCCCCAGACCAGTATGTTGAGGCCCGTCACATGTTGCAGAATATACGCCAGTTTACCCTTCAAATACTACAGTCTACCCTTAAAATACTACAGTCTACCCTTAAAACATTACTGTCTACCCTTCAAACATTACTGTCTACCCTTAAAACATTACAGTCTACCCTTCAAATACTAGAGTCTAACATCATTCTACAGTCTACCTACCATAGTTTACCATACATTCTACCAGTCTACCATACATTCCATCAGTCTATGATAAAGTCTACCATACATTCTACCATACAATCCACCACAGTCTACCATACAATTTACCATACAGTCTACCATACAATCTACCATACAGTCCACCACACAATCTACCATACAGTCTACCACCATGATGCTAGCTAAGTAGTCTAGTTCCCCATGATGCTAGCCTGATCACTAAGGCTGTTATTACTGTCATCTCCCATTATAGGGGAGTGTACTGACCTGTTGGTAGTTGTTGGGGTCGAGTCACAGCTCCTGACCAGTCTCTAGGGCAGTGACTGACAGCTGACTGACAGCTCTCTCTTGTATCTACTGCTGTCTACTATCTATCTACTACCTACCTATATGTGGTTGCAGGGGCCAAGTCATAGCTCCTGGGCCTGCCTGTGTGTATTACCACTTTAAGCCGAATTAAGTGAGCTTTAAATCCCTTAATTTTTAAGTGGACCATTTGTAGTCCAGGTGGACCATTTGTGTGGTCCAGGGGACCAGATGGACCATTTGTGTGGTCCAGGGGACCAGATGGACCACTTGTGTGGTCCAGGGGTCCAGATGGACCACTAGTGTGGTCCAAGGAGTGACTGTTTTCGAAATATTTCTGTCTCTGGGGACCCTGTGAGGCTCTTGATCAGAGGAACTGGAGTTGTCTTGTCCCTGAGCACAGCCCTGAATCCCTACCGTTGTCCAACGGCCTGTTAATCCTGTTTGAAATCTGTTGGATGTGTGGTTCGGTTTGGTACCAGGGGAAGGTATTAGGTACCTGAGTCCAGGTGATGGGTACTAGGTGCTTGTACCTGGGTAGGTAGTGAGGCTAGGTACTGACCTAGGTCCCTGAGGGATTGTGGGCAAGGCAGCTGCCCACCCCTGCCTACCATCTGCACGGAAGTGAGGTGTACACAGCCCACCCTCAATACTAACCACCCTTGGTATGGTTTTCTGGTAAGCCTTATACAAGCCACTGGGGACTAGGGACTAGTCTACTATGCTAGTACATGTTACTGTCCCACTATGGGTAAGCCCTACATGCTTCAAACTATCCACTATCCTCCCCTATCCTAGCATTCTCCAATCCACTTCTGGTATGGCTCTCTGGAAAGCCATACTGACTTCTGCAAGCCACTAGGGACTAGTCTACTATGTTAGTACGTGTTACGATCCTACTGTGGGTAGCCCCTACATGCTTCAAACTATCTACTATCCACCCATATCCAGCACACTATCAGCATCCCCCTCCCCTATTACCTATTTTAACCCCCTTCCCCTACCCTAAAGTGATCTATGTACGTGAAAAAGTACCTATGGCAGGGACGTACGTTGCAATACATACGAAATAAGGACATTATCTTATGGACATCTTTCTGCTGTATATATAATATAATATTAATATATATATATATATATATAATATATATATATATATATATATATATAAATAAGGCAGAAGAGGGTCTTAAGATTGTCGTTTCTTGTGTTTTAGTTATGTTTTCAAGATAATTAGACATCTTTTAAGATGGTTTTTAAAAATCTGTGTCTTCCAGTAGGTAGACAGCTGGCTCCTGTCTTCCAGTAGACAGCTGGTTCCTGTAAGTCTTGCAGTAGACAGCTGGCTGGTTCCTGTCTTCCAGTAGGTAGACAGCTGGCTGTCATGGGTGTTGAGATGGCCAGCTGGCTGCTGTAAGTCTTCCAGTATACAGCTGGTTCCTGTCTTCCAGTAGGTAGACAGCTGGCTGCCGTGGGTGTTTAGATGGCCAGCTGGCTGCTGTAAGTCTTCCAGTATACAGCTGGTTCCTGTCTTCCAGTAGGTGGACAGATGGCTGTCGTGGGTATTTAGATGGCCAGCTGGCTTCTGTAAGTCTTCCAGTAGACAGCTGACTCCTGTCTTGCAGTAGGTATATAGTTGGCTGCTGTAGGTGTTAAGATACCCAGCTGGCTTCTGTAAGCCTTCTAGCAGCCAGCCAGCTGTCTCCTGCCCTCCAACAGATAGCCAGCTGGCTGCTGCTGCAAACCTTCTAGCAGACAGCCAGCTGTCTCCTGCCCTCCAACAGATAGCCAGCTGGCTGCTGCAAACCCTCTAGCAGACAGCCAGCTGTCACAGGGACATTATCATCATCCCCTTCAAATAAACAAACACAATAAAAGGAGAAATAATTATCACATATAACACCTGTAAACCCGTTCCAAAACTGTTCAATACTTGTTCTACTTAACCATTGTTACTGTTATGCTTGTTTAAGCCTAAATAGCATTTATTTAAGATGTAAAAGGTGTGACTATAGGCCTAAGTCCTCGTATCAAATCCAATTTCCGTGTAATTCCTGCTTCTGCTTCTGCTCTATGGTATCTAAAACTTGCCTTAATGCAATATTTGCAATTGATAGCTCCTGGGCCCAGAGGCTTTACTAATAGAGCTGGTGGTACCAGGGGCCCCAATAAAGCCCCTTGTAGGCCTATATTCGTTAATAAAGCAATAAATTTTACATCTAGCCTTCAATAGGCCTGTGTTTAAAGCTATCCTATGATTCTCCCTATGCCTAAAAATCTTTATTTTTGACAGAGGCTTCATCAATAAAGCGCCTGGAGGCCTACCTTCATCAATAAAGCAATTTTGCCATCCTGGGTGTCTTTATTGATGAATAAGACACATGTACAACACCTAGGTGTCTTTATTGATTAAGACACATGTACAACACCTGTGTCTCTTTATTGATGAATAAGACACATGTACAACACCTGGGTGTCTTTATTGATGAATAAGACACATGTACAACACCTGGGTGTCTTTATTGATGAATAAGACACATGTACAACACCTGGGTGTCTTTATTGGTGAATAAGACACACGTACAACACCTGGGTGTCTTTATTGATGAATAAGACATGTACAACACCTAGGTGTCTTTATTGGTGAATAAGACACATGTACAACACCTGGGTGTCTTTATTGATGAATAAGACACATGTACAACACCTGGGTGTCTTTATTGATGAATAAGACACATGTACAACACCTAGGTGTCTATATCTATGTCTAAATTTACTATATGTCTACGTATATCTTGTAATAAAGGCAAGTAATAGGGTCTTTAAAAATAAAGGAAAATGTCACTACACCTTTATTTTACCTGTGTGATAAAGCTGATCATTTTCAGAGCCTAGGCCTATTATAAGTCAGATATTTGGGCAATCTCCGCTGTTTGTACAGCCTAGAGAAAGAGGTGAGGGTTCTGAGTCGGCTTCAGTGTATCGTATAGGGGATCTTGTTGAACCTTATTGGCTGGGGTGTCTAGACCTATTGACTGGGTTCAATTGTGGGGTAGGGCTTCAATTGTAGGGGATAGGGGTTCCATTGTGGGGGTAATGGTTCAAGTGAGGGGATGGAGATTCAGTTGTGGTTTAACTCTTGGGGTGGGGGTTCAATTGTGGGGATGGAGGTTCAATTGTGAAGGGCGGGGATTTATGGTGGGGGTTAGGGTTCAACTGTGGGGGTGGGGGTTTCAACTGTTGGGATTGGGGTTTCAGTTGTGGGGGTTGGGGGTTCAATTGTGAGGATAAGGCTTCAATTGTGAGGGATGGGGGTTCAATTGTGGGGGTTGGGGGTTCAATTTTGGGGATGGGGGTTCAATTGTGGGGATGTGGGGTTTAATTGTGGGGGTTGGGGGTTCAATTGTGGGGGATGAGGGTTCAATTGTGAGGGATAAGGCTTCAATTGTGAGGGATTGGGGGTTCAATTGTGGGGGTTGGGGGTTCATTTGTGGGGGATGGGGGTTCAATTGTGGGGGATGGGGTTCAATTGTAGGGGATGAGGGTTCAATTGTGGGGGATGGGGATTCAATTGTGAGGGATGGGGATTTAATTGTGAGGGATAGGGAATCAATGTGAGGGATGAGGGTTCAATTGAGGGATGGGGGTTCAATTGTAAGAGTTGGGGGTTTCATTGTGGGGGTTGGGGGTTCAATTGGGAGGGATAGGGGTTCGATTGTGGGGGTTCAATTGTGGGGGGTGGGGGTTCGATTGTGAGGGATGGGGGTTCAATTGTGAGGGATGGGGTTCAATTGTGAGGGATGGGGTTCAATTGTGGGGTTGGGGGTTCAATTGTAAGGGATAAGGGTTCAATTGTGAGGGATGGGGGTTCAATTGTAGGGGATGGTCGATTAGAAGATGGGGGTTCAATTGTAAAGAATGGGGGTTCAATTGTGGGGGTTGGGTCCAATTATGAGGGATGGTTCGATTAGGGGATGGGGTTCAATTGTGGGAGATGGTTTCAACTGTGGGGGATGGTTCAATTGTGGGGGATTGGGGTTCAATTGTGAGGGATAGTTCAATGTGGGGGATGGGGTTCAACTGTGAGGGATGGGGGTTCAATTGTGAGGGATGGTAGTTGAATTGTGAGGGATGGGGGGTTCAACTGTGAGAGTATGGGTTCAATTGTGAGAGTATGGGTTCAATTGTGAGGGATGGGGTTCAACTGTGAGGGATGGGGTTCAATTGTGAAGGATGGGGTTCAATTGTGAAGGATGGGGGTTCAATTGAGGGATGGGGGTTCAATTGTGAGGAATGGGGGTTCAATTGTGAGGGATGGGGTTCAGTTGTAAGGGATGGGAGTTCAATTGTGAGGGATAGGGTTCAATTGTGAGGGATAGGGTTGTTAGGTAAGACACATATGCAACGGTTAGGTATCTTTATTTCGAAACGTTTCGCCTACACAGTAGGCTTCTTCAGTCGAGTACAGAAAAGTTGATAGAAGCAGAAGATACTTGAAGACGATGTAATCATATTGTTTCATTCTATGGAACAATGCTCTCCAGACTGAGGGACTGACCACCTCAAAACTTTAAGGGTGATGGACTGATTACATCGTCTTCAAGTATCTTCTGCTTCTATCAACTTTTCTGTACTCGACTGAAGAAGCCTACTGTGTAGGCGAAACGTTTCGAAATAAAGATACCTAACCGTTGCATATGTGTCTTACCTAACAATCTGTCGGTATTTTATACCATTTTAATGTTCAGGGATAGGGTTCATTTGTGAGGGATGGGGGTTCAATTGTGAGGGTATGGGTTAAATTGTGAGGGGTGGTGGTTTAATTGTGAGGGATGGGGGTTCAATTGTGAGGGATGGAGGTTCAATTGTGAGGGATGGAGGTTCAATTGTAAGGGGTTTGGGTTCAACAGTGAGGATGGAGGCTCAATTATGAGGGATGGTTCGATTAGGGGATGGGGTTCAACTGTGGGGGAATGGGTTCAATTGTAGGTGATGTGGGGTTCAATTGTAGGAATAAGGGTTCAAATGTGGGGGATGGGGGTTCAATTGTGAGGGGGGTTCAATTGTGAGGGATGAGAGCTAAATTGTGAGGGATGAGGTTCAGTTGTGAAGGATGGGGGTTATTGTGAGGGATGGGGGTTAAATTGTGAGGATGGGGTTCAGTTGTGAAGGATGGGGGTTATTGCGAGGGATGGGGGTTCAATTGTGAGGGATGGGGTTCAATTGTGAGGGATAGGGTTCATTTGTGAGGGATGGGGGTTCAATTGTGATGGTATGGGTTAAACTGTGAGGGGTGGTGGTTCAATTGTGAGGGATGGGGGTTCAACTGTGAGGGATGGAGTTCAATTGTGAGGGATGGAGGTTCAATTGTAAGGGGTTTGGGTTCAACAGTGAGGATGGAGGCTCAATTATGAGGGATGGTTCGATTAGGGGATGGGGTTCAATTGTTGGGGATGGGGTTCAACTGTGGGGGATGGGTTCAAATTGTAGGTGATGGGGGTTCAATTGTAGGGAATAAGGGTTCAAATGTGGGGGATGGGGGGTTCATTTGTGAGGGATGGGGGTTCAATTGTGAGGGATGAGAGCTTAAATTGGTGAGGGATGAGGTCCAGTTGTGAAGGATGGGGGTTATTGTGAGGGATGGGGGTTAAATTGTGAGATGGGGTCAGTTGTTAAGGATGGGGTTACAATGCGAGTGATGGGGGTTCATTGTGGCGGATGGGGTTCATTGTGAGGGATAGGGATCATTTGTGAGGGATGGGGGTTCATTGTGATGTAAGGGTTTCAATTGTGAGGATGGAGGTTCAATTGTGAGGGATGGGGGTTCAACTGTGAGGGATGATTCAATTGTGAGGGATGGGGTCATTTGGTGAGGACGGGGGGGTTCAATTGTGAGGATTGGGTCATTTGTGGGGACAATGGGGTTCAATTGTGGGGATTGGGGTTCAACTGTGAAGGGATAAAGGGTTCAATTGTGAGGGAATATTGCTGCACACTAACAGTCACTTTCAAGGCATTAAATTGCCGAACTAGAAAATGTACAGAGAAATTTCACCGGCGCCACATAACGAGATAAAACACCTCAATTAAAGGGAGCGCTTGAGGTTCCTAAACTCTGTATTCCCTGGAACGCAGGAGGGAGAGATAACAGATTACTATACAATCCGTGGAAAACCCTAGAGGGGACTAGAATACCTCGGGAACATTGCACACAAAGTACGAAAATCACTCACATACTAAAGCAAAAGACTTGGCAGAAAGACGATGCCAACATCCCCCCAATGAGAAGCAGGGGTGTCCTAAGCACGTTTAATAAGACCATACAATAAGTGTCATGGGGCCCGAGAACTGTTCAACTAACTGCCTCCCAGCACACATAAGGGGGATTACCAACAGACCCCTGGCAGTCTTCAAGCTGGCACTGGACAAGCACCTAAAGTCAGTTCCTGACCAGCCGGGCTGTGGCTCGTACGTTGGTTTGCGTGCAGCCAGCAGCAACAGCCTGGTTGATCAGGCTCTGATCCACCAGGAGGCCTGGTCACAGACCGGGCCGCGGGGGCGTTGACCCCCGGAACTCTCTCCAGGTAATCCAGATGGGGTTCAATTGTGAGAGATGGGGGTTCAATTGTGAGGGATGGGAGTTCAATTGTGAGGGATGGGGGTTCAGTTGTGAGGGATGGGGTTCAATTGTGAGGGATGGGGTTCAATTGTGAGGGATGGGGGTTCAATTGTTGAGTGGATGGGGTTCATTTGAGGAATGGGGTTCAATTCGAGGGATAAGAAGGGTTCAATTGTTGGAGGCTTAAATACACATCAACCAGAAGCCTGGTAAAACAGGTTGACTGCCCAAGAGATCTGACTGGCAAGGTTCTGAGTGTCCTCAGTTTACACTCTGCCAGTCATCTACAATCAGCTAAATAAAACAATAAAAGTTGACGCTCATTACCAGAGTTTTTTAGCTACACCTTCACAAGTGTTCAACACCTGAGTAACACCTAGGTGGTCTTTACTTATGACTAATACACAAGAGCTAACACCTAGTGTGGGCCTTTACTGATGAATAAGACACCTAGTACCACCTAGGTGTCTTTAACAGATGAATAAGACACATGTACTAAACTTAGGTGTCTATATTGATGAATAAGACACATGTACACAACCTAGTGTCTTTATAGATGAATAAGACACATATACAACACCTAGGTGTCTTTACTGATGATAATATGACATTAAACAACACCTATGTTGTCTTCTACAGATGAATAAGACACCATAGTAACACCTAAGGTGTCTTTACTGATGAATAGACACATGTACAAAATTACATTTAGGTGTCTTTAATTAGATGAATAAGAACACATGTACAACACCAAGTGCTTTTGTGTGATGAATAAGAACACATATACAACACCTAGTGTCTTTACTGATGAATAAGACACCTGTACGAACACCTAGGTGTCTTTTAAACCTGAGAATAAGAACCCTGTACACACCTGTAGTGCTTATAGATGAATAAGACCACATGTCAACACACTGGAGTCCATTAATTGATGAATAATGACAACATATACAACACCTAATTGTCTTTAACTGATGAATAAGACACATGTACAACACCTAAGTGTCTTTAATTGATGAATAAAAACACATATACAACACCAGGTGTCTTTAACTGATGAAATAAGACACATGTACAACAACTAGGTGTCTTTTACTGATGAATTAAGACACATGACAACACCTGGGAGTCTTTATTGATGAATAAGACACCTGAGTCACACCTAGTGTCTTTACTGATTGATAAGACACAAGTACAGCACCTGGGTTCTTTATAGATGAATAAA